TTACTGTCGAGACAGCCACAGAAGGTAAGAGCTAGGGACGACCGGCAAGGCCACGGAGTTTAGTCCTTCACTTCGACTCCAGCCCCCATAGCTGGAACCCTAGCTAATGCTCCCTTCCCTGCGCACACGTGAAAGGCTGTCCAGATAATCTTTTGGAAGAAAAAAAAGATGAGAATTGCTGATCTGGTGCTGGGAACCATTATGTAATCCAGCTGGAATTTGCCCCATATCCTCCCAATGAAACAGAAAAGGGACACGGGAGGGAAACAGACTGAGATACAGCTACGCTGGCAAAGGCGTGCTTAAAAGGATGTTGAGCCACCATGATTTTTGTGAGGGGTCCAGTGAGTTGGCCCCTGTCTGCTGTGCTGGACTCAATTCTCATTACTTCCTCCCGGGAACTCTTCTCTGCAGCAGCAGAACCAGGCAAACACCTTGACTCTTGGGCGCCTCTTCACTCTCCCCCCACCTCGCAGAGGTACGATTCAGATTCAGGATAATCTGATTCCAGAGTTGTCGAGCTTTCCAGAGGTAGGAGGAGTCAGAGCAAGAGAGAGCCCCTAAAAACAGTGCCTGGCAGCCTATGCCAAGGGCAAAAGGAGTAGCAACATCGAATCACTCTTTGAGTCTGGGAGTGGGCATGGGAATGGGGGAGATGGCCAAGCACCCGCGAAGCCTGAGAGGCTTCCCGGAAGAAGTCGCTCTCACAACCAAGGCCGTATAAATGGTTGCTATTTATTGGATGGTAAATTCTTACATGTGGTACCCTCAGAACCCTGCACGGTGTTCTGTAGAGGGTTTGTGCTGTTATTGATGATATTTATTATCATGCCTGGGGGTGATTAATTCAACTGAAACATACCCAGGAGGAACTAACTAGTTCTTTCTCTGGGAGGAGGAGGGTATGTGCCAAATCCTGGTTCCTTCTGGATGTGTGTACCCTGGGATACTGCAGCTGAGCCTGACTTCAGAAGGAAGGTGTGAGAAATACAGCACTGATTTCAATTTTAGTTTTGTAGAAATATTTGGGAAGCCTGCTTGGTGGTGTTTTCATGATTGAAAATGACCCAGTGCGTGAGCTTGACAGGAACATGGGCCACAGCAGGCCTGACATATGCTTTTTCCCATCTCCATATGTTTCATTTATATCTTAATCCACGGCCTGCTGGTAAGATAGCACTTCGGGGACCACTGTCAGTTGGTCTCATGCTATTTTCCTAGCCTCTGGTATTCACACATCCTCCAGTAGGAGCTGGAATTTGGCCCTGGGCCTGTGGAATTGCCATAGGGCTGACTGCAGGGAAAAGAATATTCGAAATGTGAAATGAATTTGTTCAAATGTGAGTCAGGGATGTGTTCAGTCTGTTTATAGAAGGAGGAAATGACATTTGAAGAAAATTGGTTCTGGGAGAAATGCTGTCATTATATAAGCTTTCAAAATTTAGTAACCGACTGGCTAGGAGAGTAACAGATTGGCTAACTTGTGAAGTACCCAAACATGCCCTTTACCCATTACGGTGTGGTGGCCTGGGTCCCAGTCCTGCCACTTAAAGACTATTCGACCCTGAGTCTAAGTGTCTGCATCTGTGAAATGAGAATAATAACAGTTGCTTAAAACGTTTTGTTGACAGGGTGCCTGGGTGGCTCAGTTGGGTAAGTGTCTGCCTTTGACTCAGGTCATGATCCTGGGGTCCTGGGATGGAGCCCGCGTTGGGCTCCCTGCTCAACGAGGAGTCTGTTTCTCCCTCTCCCTCTGACCGTCGCCCCCAACTTGTGCTCTCTCAAATAAATAAAAAAAATCTTTTAGAAAACCTGTTTTGTTGATAGAAAGGATCAGGTACAGTTCTCAGTATGAGCTCAATATAAAATAGTAGTAGTAACAACAGCTAACATTCTGGAGGCACGTATCACGTGCCAGGCCTGAGTTACATGCTTTTTTCACATTGTCTCACTTGTTGTTGACAATTAGGTTACGAGACCAATAGAATTACCCCCTAAAATGCCTAATACCATTAATAATGACAATACAGCACACAACTCAGATTGGAATAGATTAATTCCACGCTCTCTAATCCTGCCTATTCGCCCCCACACCTTCCGCTACCGAGTTTTCACTTGTGGCTGGAGGGCTGGAGATGTTTCACAAAGCAATAGGATAATAAAGACAGACCAAGAGAACAAGCATTTTGGAGCTCAAATGCTGGAAGAGGGTTTTGCAGTCAGAGACAAGAGGAGGTCAGGTTTTCACAAAAAGAGTAACTGTGTGCAACTAACAAAGAGGCTTGTTTGGGAGGAAACAAACATGGGAATCATTCACACACTTGAAATCTTGTAATAAACCAGAAGAGTCACTACCCTTTGCTTCACTGCTCCTCACCCTCCCTCCTTCTCTGCTTTCCTCAGCTGTAGGGGAGGGGAGGCCTTTTTCAAGAAGGGAACAGGGTCGGGTCTATTCCCTTGAGGTGGCTTGCAGTCACAGACCCCATCCCCCACCCTCAGGTACATCTCCTCGTGGGGAAGGCACAAGGAAAGAGCAGACAGAGCCCAAACATGTAGTTTGCAGCCACTAGGATGCTGGCACTCCCCTCATTTCTTCCCAATGGACATGGTCTTATTAGATCTTGCAAGAACAGTTCTCTTAAAAGAAAGGCAAAGAGGGAAGCACACGGGCCTTGAAGAACCTCAGGTCTGTTGGGGTTAAGCCAGGTCACATGACTAAACACACCCCTCTGCCCATTCCAGAAGGACAGCTTGCACTTGCGGGACAGACACATGGTGTCTCTTTCATGACAAGATTATTTTAATACTAACTGAAACCAAAGCAGGTTCAGATTTCCCTTTGGCCTTGGGGATGTCACAGCACAGAATTTCAACATTTTTCACTTACACTGTCGCTGCATTGTTCCAAATTTTTTCTGAGTACATTTCCCCCTCCCCCCCCCCAATCTCTGCCAATTCTCTGGGTGTGGGAGAAAGGAAGCTCTTTCAGTCTGGTCTCCGAAAGTCGTGGAAATATGAATGACAGTAATACGATATTTGGGATTGTGTATTGTTTTAAAATAGGAAAGTCAGTTATATTTTTCTCCAGTGGCCATACTTTTCAAAACAACAAGTTAAGGAACACTTTGGGGTGAGCATTCTGAGCTGGGATTCCTCAGAAGCACCAGAGAGAGAAAAACTTAAATGATGGCTTATTTGATAGCTCAAAGGCACTCGATTTTGAGAGCTTGAGATTTAAACCTTAGTCAGCTTCCTCTATTTTACAAAGGAAACAATTTAGAGGGAGCGACTTGTCCAAGGTCACACGGCTAGTAAATGGCAGAGTCATATGTTTTAAAGCCCCATTTTCAAAATTGTGTTATACACAATCCAATCCCAGCAGGGGGCCTTTTTGTGTGTGGAAATTGACAAGATGATTAGTTGCCATGAATATTAAATGAGATAATGTCTGTAAAGCGGGGAGCATAGTAGCTGCACAAAACTGAATGAACGTGTTCTAGGCACTACACATTTTCCTTCCTTTATATTCACGTCCACATATATTTTAGGTTTACATGGTTGTAATGTTTGTGTCTCTACCACATTGTGATCTCCTTTTTTCACTTAACACAGCCCGCATACATACGATTTTGATGTCTGAAGAATGTTCCATCTGGTCGGTAGACTCCACTTTTTTTAGACACTTTACCATTATTGAACATTTGGGTTGTTTTCAGTTTTTCACCATTATAAATAGTGGGACTTGGAACAATCTTACATAGCTTACCGCCCTCCCACCCCTGTACCCCTTTTGGGGTTGTTTCCTTGGAATATGTTCTCAAAAATGGAATGGGACAGAGAAAGAGCTCTCAAACCAGATTGCTCTCCAGAGAAACACTACCAGTTTACTGTGCTTGTGTGTCACCAGTGACGGGTGGCTATATTATTGCAAAAAAAAAAAAAAAAAAAAGTGGTTTAACTGTTCTGTCTAGGCATAGAAAAAGAACTTGGGGATTCTTGCCTGAAACTTCCTTTCCCACCCACCCCCCCCCACCATCCCTGTACCCTTGGCAGTGATCATGCTTTCCTGGCCTTTTTCTGACTTCCTCCTCCTGCTCAGGGTCTTGGAGCAGAAGTGATGGTGCTAATACAGAACAGGATGAACAGTTTCTGTACTAAAATCTAACAAAAGCCTTACATGGAGTGTGACTATCCCAAGGGCTTCACCAAATCAAATGCTGGAGATTCACTTGTGAATTTCCATCACAAACAAAATGGCGATTTGGGTTTTGAAGAAAAGCCTGCCATTTCAGAAAGAAAAATCTAACTGTGGCTCTATGTATCTGTGGGCTTGAATTCAAACATTCAGCCCACTGGGCTTGGGGGGTGCCTGTTCTGACTTCTGTCACTTACAAATTGTCACTGATTTAATAACAGTAAGTTACATTTTTGAGTGTCGAGGCCCTTTGCCTCCATGCAGCATCTCATTTAATCCTCACAACCATCCTTGGAGTGAACACTATTATCATCCCCATTTTATGGATGAGGAAATACGAGCTTAGAAAGATGATTTAACTTGCCCAGAGTCACACAGCTAGGAACTGCCTGAGCTGTGATATGAACTCAGGTCTGTTTGACTCAAAGGCCTTCGTGCTTCCTCTTGTCTTGCCTCTCACACTCTCATTTAAGATATGGTGACTTATCTGCCACGTTGACTCCAGTGTTGTTTCAAGGATCAAATGAGACCAGAATCCCCAAGTGCTTTGTAAAGAGTAGACAAAACATCGTATAGATGGGTAGGCATTTTGTCAATGTCAGCCCATTATTATCACTTGGATTTAAGTTAGCTGAGGTGACTCTATAGGACTCTACACCAGGCCACATCACTTAGCGGGGCCCTAGGCTTTCTGGAGAGACCTGGCGGTTTCCATCCTACGAACAATTTCTGTGAAGTGGGTCCCTGATTAGAGTTACCCGATGCTCCCCTATGATGGGGCTGTACAGAGGAGGATGAAACTCACCTGAATTGATGTTCTTGTTCTTGATTGTCTTTTCCATGTTTCAGAAAGAGTTCAATGAACTAGACAGGACATGGTACTCAGAGATTCATTTTCTGAGCAAGCTGGGCTCTCTACCGCAGGTCTTATTGTTGTGGGCGAGTGATGATGTTAAGGGATACTAATGGAAGGAGCCTCTGTCTCTTCACTTGTTTTCCTAAGGAAGAGACCTGGAGTTAGACACAGTTCACCTTCATATCGAACCAGAGACTGCTGGGAGACTGTTAGCTTTGAAAGAGGCCTTGAATATCCTCTCCTCATTCCTGATTTCCTGAGGATGGCTTTACTGCTTTTGTTAAAAAATGCATGTGTACGTAGTGTGTTGTATCAGACTCTGTCACGTGCCTCTCTGTCCCTTACTCACATGGTCTCTAACTCTTTTTTTTTTTTTTTTTAATTTCCTGAAGTCATCTCTACCCCCAGTGTGTGGCTTCAAAACTCATAACCCCGAGATCGAGAGTCACATGCTTCACTGACTGAGCCAGACAGGTGCCCCTGGTCCCCTGTTCTCTAATTCTTGTAAAATCCTAGGAAGTGGATACTATCATTATGGCCTTATTACAGATGAGGAACTCCAGGCCCAGATAGGTTTACTAATCTGCCTCAGTGCGCAGAGTTGCTAAATGAAACCTTTGGGCATATTTACCTCCCCAAAGAAGGAAAGTGGAAGAGATTGGGATGCAGAGTTAAGAGACTGGAGCTCTTCCCACTCTGCCACTTCATTCACCCGTAAGATGTTGGCCAGAGCCGTTTCATCCTCTGCAAGGTGAAGCTTCCTACTCCGTTCTGGCTTTGGTTCTTTTATGGCTTTTTTCCCCCCTGAAACCTGTATCATTTACAATTACTAGTTGTTCAGGAAAATAAAAATAGAAATAGAAACAAACAGTATGGCGATGCTCCCAAATCAAACATGGGATGATAGAGATCCCCATACTAGTGACAATAGACCCTTTTTCTCTTTGGCAAAGCTAAGTGTTGCTGCCACCTAGTGAGGAAAAGGAGCATGGCCTCCGGGCAAGGTCTGGTCCCTTCTGTGGTGGCCTAGGGAAAAACTAGCAGAAATCATTGAATTGACCAGATGATTTATGGGATTTCACAGTTAAACCTTACGTTGTTTCTGCAAGCCCATCTCTCCCTTTATCTAAAATGAGGTTAGGAGACGGGCGCCTGGGTGGCTCAGGCACCACCAACTCTTGATTTCGGCTCAGGTCATGATCTTGGGGTCCTGTGATGGAGCCCCGCTAGCAGGTGCGTGCAGGGCATGGATCCTGTTTAAGATTCTCTCTCCCTCTCCCTCTGCTCCTTCTCAGTCTCTCTCTCTCAAAAAAGATTAGCTTTAAAAACAAATAAATAAAATGAGGTTAGGAGAAGAGCTTCTCTGGGTGGTATTATTAAGTACAAGTGACCCATCTCTGGCCTCCTTCAAATGTGCCTATACTGTTTCCCATATCCCCCTCCCACCTGTAATCCTAGAACCCTAGGTCTGAGCAGGAAAGAACCGTCCTCAGAGAATTTCTAGGGCAACCCATTTCATAGTACAGAGAACGAGTGTTTTGACCGAGGTCACACAGGTAGTTAACGTAGGCAGCGGTGACAGTAGACTGGTCCCAGAATTCCGGAAGGTGGTCTGATAAAATCCACCCAAAATGGATGAGATTAAATTATTTGCAAAATCACCTTCCCAAGAGAATAGCTCCCAGGCCGGGAGCGAGGTTTGGAGATGTAATCAATGATATTTACATATTTAAAGAAAGCCTGAGTAGTTCCGGTGGGGAAGAGAGGGTGGTCAGGCCGGAAACCCCCACCCCCACCCCCGCCAGGAGCCTTCGCTTACCCGAGCTTTAAGCTCAACGGGGTGCTCGGTGCTGAAGGAAGTGCTCCCCGGGACTCCCTGAGACCCCCAGCCCAGGAATCTCAATTTCCGGAGAGACATTTCCCACCCTTGGGGGCGTGCCCAGGGCCCCAAGTGTAATCTTAGCTTTCCCCTCTGCCTCCCGGAAAGAGTTCTCAGAAGCGAGAACGAAAGCAATGGTTCTTGCAGACTAACCTGCCGCTGCTAGAATGTATTTTAAGCAGTCAAAAGTTTTTAGTGCGATTGTAATGAATCACTTGCAGCAAACTCACGGTGCCCAGTTGAGGGGATTTAAAGTTCTTTGCACAATCAACAATCTTTAATAAGAAGACTAAAATGGCTGACGTCACCAAGGGCATCCATTGTGAGTCAAGGGCGTTGCATTGTCTGCCATTTACATCTGACAACAGCCCAATGAGGTAATAATTGTTATGATCCTCATTTTAAGCTGAGGCTCAGAGAGCAGCGTACCCAGAGCCCCAGCAGCTCTCCTTGACGTGCCCAGTCCTTGATCACTACCCTGTACCTCCTCCTCCTTGCCAGCTCGGCCTCCCGGATGCGCGAGGACGGGAAGCAGGAGATGCGCGTGTGCACTCTGGCTAGCGGACACGCACATTTCCAACTCGCGGAGAGGAGGCTGTCCTCGCCAGCCCCCTCCCCCCCACCCCGGACCCCACCCGAGACGAGTGCCAGGGTACTCTGGTGATACAGCCTCCCCTTGGGGAACTGATCCACCGGTTTGGTAGGCTAGTTGCCTGTAGGGGGAGAGATTACCTCGGGAAAACATTTTCCCTAATTTACAACAAATGTTTGCTGGGCGCGGGCGGAGGGGGAGACAGACTGTAGGAGGACAGGTGACTAATTAAGGGGAAGAATTTTTGATTATCTGTTGTTTCAGCTTATCAGAGCAATTGCTTCTCTCTCTTAACGTGGATAATTAAGAATTGACTGCGTAGTTAAGTGATTCAAACCTTCCTGGCTCACATAAAATTCTCTTCGGTAATAAACAAGCATGCACAGAATTATTCGCTGAAAGGGACTGACTTCCTTCCAGTGTTTGTTGTCAGATACAATCCTGTCCTCCTCCCATTAAATTATCAATTAGGTGAAGCGCTTCCTTAAACAAGAACATCTATCTATCTATCATCCATCTCTCTATTACATATATATACACATCTCTGTAATTTGATAATTTGTACTATCTCTCGCCCCACCTCTCCCCACACTTTTGACTTTTGTTGGTTCCTTGGGCTAAGGATACATACTAAGGCCTAGATAACATTTTATGCTGTCTCTCTATAGTTTTTCTAAGGCTGAGAATAATAAAGGGCATTTGGAAAATGTGAACAGGAAACAGTTGAACACAAGCTGAGAATGCTGTTAAAAAGAGGAAGTGAGTGGGGGACTAAAGGAAACTTTGTGTTCATCAAAAAAGAAAAAGACTTTTTTTTTTTTTTTTAAGGAAGCCTTGCCTCTCATGCCTAGGCCCCATGCGCCAAGTCTGGACTACAAGCAGAATTTTCAGCTGTTTCCTGAAATAAGCCCAAGGTATACGACCACAAATTGCCCTCCCGGGGTTGAGATTATGTCTCATATTTCATTAAATTCCCCCCCCATTGTCTGGCCTAGTTTTACATGTTTTAGCTACTCAATAAATATTGAATGAGTCAAAATGCAATCAGGTTCCAGGCTTCAAGAATTAAGTTGCTTTTTTTCTTGTTAAGCAGCAAAAGAAATGAGGAACTATAGAGACTTGATTTCAGAGTGTGAAGGGGAGGCTGTAAAGATAATGTTCTCATCTCATTTTATATGAATCATAACTGTAATAATGCAGCCAGCCAGGGCATGGGCAGCTCTTCAGCAGCTGGTTACAGCCACCTTCCAATCCAGCTGTCTACCTGTAGGGTACAATTCTCGGAAACAACTGTTTAATTAAAAAGAGAAAACTGCCTCTCTCTCTGTGTGTGTTTGTGTGTGTGTGTGTGTGTGTTTAATCCCGAGAAGCTAGAATTGAAAAGAATTTTTAGTATTGAAAAGCATTTTTAGGGGTGCCTTGGTGGCTCAGTCGTTAAGAGTCTACCTTCGGCTCAGGTCATGATCCCAGGATCCTGGGATCGAGCCCCACATGGGGGTCCCTGCTCGGCGGGAAGCCTGCTTCTCCCTCTCCCACTCTCCCTGCTTGTGTTCCCTCTCTTGCTGTGTCTCTGTCAAGTAAATAAATAAAATCTTAAAAAAAAAGAAAGAAAAGCATTTTTAGAATTAGGACAATTCTCACTACCAGAAGTCTGTGTTCACTTACATGGTGTGGTGTGAGAAGTTCCCAAGGACACCCCTTTGTCTCCCTAGCGCCCCCGTGCCTTCCTCCTACAGCTCGTGACAGCTACTTAAAATCCCCAGCGGGGAGGTAAGATCTTGTCTCTCGGTGGCCTCTGCTGAAATCATGCATTTGGGAAGAAGAGGGTAGAAGCCACCTGAAATGTTGGCATGGAGCAATTATTATGTGCCAGGCATAATGCTGGCAAACACGCATATGAAAAGATGCTCAACCTCATTAGTCATGAGGGAAATGCAAATTAAAGCCACAGTGAGATACCACTGCATACCAGATCAGGATGGTTAAAATAGAGACAAAGCAAAAACAAAACTGATACTATCAAAATGCTGGCGGGGATGCAGATTATTTGGACCCCTCGAATATTGCTGTTAGAGGAGAAATCTTCAAGGAGAGCAAGATGAAAATGTGTACTAATTTGGTCTCTTGTCTAGAATGGACCTTTTCTTGGCGGCGGCTAAAATAAAGTATTGTTATAAGCAGGTCCTGACCGGGGCATTAGCTAAAAACAGTAGTGGCCATGTATTAGGTAGGGACTAAATCATTCCAGAGTAAAATGAAGAACTCTGGAGAAACAATTTTAACTAAGTTCCTGGTCTCAGCCTGAAGCCTGCTCCAAAGACGGGGAGTTTGATATTCTTTCCATTAGGATTACATATTTCTGGAAACCTATTTTTTTTAAGATTTTATTTCTAAGTAATCTCTACACTCAACAAGGGGTTCGAACCCACAACCCCGAGATCAAGAGTCGCCTTCCCCACTGACTGAGCCAGCCGGGTGCCCCTGGAAACCTTTTTTTTTTTTTTTAAAGTAAGCTCTATACCCAACGTGGGGCTTGAATTCACCACCCCGAGATCAAGAGTCGCCTTCCCCACTGACTGAGCCAGCCGGGTGCCCCTGGAAACCTTTTTTTTTTTTTTTAAAGTAAGCTCTATACCCAACGTGGGGCTTGAATTCACCACCCCGAGATCAAGAGTCGCATGCTCTACCAACTAAGCCAGCCAGGCGCCCCTCTGGAAACCTAATTTCCACCATTGAGAGAATACACGTTTCCTTTCAACTTTAAGAAATTGATCACTTCTGTAGATTGCTTTTCGTAGGGAAAAGTTTGTGGAATGGGGGCGGTGGTGGGAGGAGGGAGGGAAGAAGAGACAGAGGGAGAGACCTTGTGATCAGCTGGTGTAACTCTCCTTCTGCAGAGCTTCTGGGCGCCAGGTCCAATTCAGTGCCCCCTCTAATGATTGCCTCCTGCAGCCTTTTAGCCCTCAGATTTATATACAGATTTACTGTGTCCCAAATGAGTCTCAGCAACCTGAGCTTCCTAGGATTGGTGACCCTTGGAAACCATTTCCTGATAAGGGGCTGCACGTGGCCCCAGGATTTACTGTACCTATCTCAATCAATACTAATTACTTCCCCGCATTAATGGCTTCTGCTTTCAGCAAGAATAAGGCGCCTCCCCAGTTCTGCCATTTCCCTGACAACTATAAATTACAGTCAAGGTTACGGTCTTATCTCCCCTGGACTCAAATCACCCTCCTGGCTGGGGAGCTCGGGGCAGCTTTCTAGACAGATGTTGCCATGGTTCTGTTTGCCTGACTACCTGCCAATTTGGTTAATGTAGGTAAATACACTTATGCTCTCTGCCTTTTACCTCTGGAGGGGACCTGTCTGGAGTTAATTGAAATAGAGAACGCCAAATAATCTGAATAAATATACATTGTGTTACACAGGGCAACTAAATCAAGCCGAAGAGTAATCTAAAGTGGTAACTACTGGAGAGAAGCGAGAGTCTGTGTTGTTATTACGTGCCTGAATTGCTCATGTGGAGGTCGTTTTCCTGGACTAGAAAATGACCAACGATTGTGCAGTCAGTGGGATTGCCAGTTGCTTGATTTCATTCCGGTTAGTTTGGCCAAATACCTTCGTCCAGAAAACAATCCATCTGACCGTGATCATTTCTAATTGTTCTGACAGAATCGATTGAGGATTTTTTCACCCATGGAAACAGACTTGTTTTTGTATGGTTTTGATATTTAGGAATTTGGAAACTTTTTCCTCTATAAATGATTCAAAGTTTCCATTCTTTTTCTTTTTTAAATTTTTAAATTTTTTATTATTTTTAAAAAGATTTTATTTATTTATTTCTCAGAGAGAGAGCACAAGCAGGGGGAGCGGCAGGCAGAGGGAGAGCAAGGAGCCGGAGGTGGGGCTCGATCCCAGGGCCCTGGGATCATGACCTGAGCCGAAGGCAGACGCTTAACCCACTGAGTCACCCAGGTATCCCAAAGGTTCCATTCTTTGTCTTAGATAAAACACACATCGGTCTGAAGGCTGAAAGTTGATAATATGTTGCCTATTACTTGTATAATTGAATCACTAAACACTCCGGAAATGACCTTCCTCTTTGCCCCAAGTCCCGCAGCATCTTGGGAGTGACTTTCATATCTATTATCTCTCTCCATCTAGATAGAACACTCTGACTCCCAGCATCTCCTAGCACTTACAGGCGCTCAATAAATATTTCTCTGCCTAGCACAGTGCCTGATGGGGCTCCGTGCTGGGCTGAATGGAACAGTTAGAAGACAGCTGCCCTACCCTTCCCTCACTTTCTTTTTTTTTCTTTAAGATTTTATTTATTTATTCATGAGAGACAGAGAGAGAGAGAGAGAGAGGCAGAGGGAGAAGCAGGCTCCCCACTGAGCAGGGAGCCCGATGCGGGACTCGATCCCAGGACTCTGGGATCATGACCTGAGCTGAAGGCAGACACTTAACCATCTGAGCCACCCAGGCGCCCCTCCCTCACTTTCTGTAGGCAGAACGCAACCTCCAAATAGTTGATGTAAACTAAGCTGGCCAGGTGGATTTACAAGAGTGGGGGGGGGGATGGGGGAGGAAGCAAATGGCACGCTCAGGGTAGCCTGGACTGGCCTAGACTGGCCTATACTGGGAAGATGGGGGCTGTTAGTATGAGTGGGGCTGGACCTGCACGATTTAGTGCCTCCTGTTACTCGTCGAAGCCTCATGGGGGACGGGCAGGAGGCTGTGCTCAACAGCAAACTGAAGGGAAAAGGTGCAGGAAATCAGAAAGTAGTCAGTGAGCATCATTAGAATGAGCTAGTCATAATCATAATAACTGCCATTTACCAAGTTCCAGGCCCCATGCTCCATACTTTCCCATACATTATCTCATATCTTGCTCATAATGAGTCTGTGAGAGAGATATTATCTCCATTTCGTGCTGTGGAAACTAGGACTCCCGTTGGT